CCCCAAAACCCCAAAACCCCAAAACCCCAAAACCCCTTTTATCTTAAAAATTGTTGAAAAGGCATTTTTGTGCATGAAAATACAAAAATCAGGTGAAGAAGTGCTCAAAGCTTTTAATAATGCAATCACTTAGACCTGCAGAATGAGCTTAATAGATTATATAGAGAAATGAACAGGTATTCACTGATTAGAAATCTCTTGTTGATAATTTTTAGAGTAAAATTTTGGGTTGGGAGAGATGAAAGATTTTAGTTAAAATTTTTGAAATTTAAGAATAATTTTTAGAAAATCTTAGCTTTCAGATGAAGTTTGAATGGGGAAATTCAGGAAGGCTAAAGCTGTGTCTAGTACCTTCATAACGTTCTCAAGACAATTCCATGAGTTTTCCTCGTCCTTTTGTTCCGCAAACATGTTCTTGTATTTTTCGATTTTCTTCTTAAGCTCTCTTAGAATGCTGAAATGCTGAGAGAAGAGAGCACTGCATGTTCCAAAACTAGGCACAACAACTTTTATGTTCTTATTAGGAACTCCTCCTGGGTTTTGAATAGCCAAGACAGAATTACTACTGTCTTTTTGACTTCCACTAGCATACCCAAATTGAATAGAAGAAGTTTTGGATTTCGGTCCTTGCTTAACACCTTTAGAAAGTGGCCGTTTAGAATCAAGCATTTTCATATTTTGAAGGCCTACCACTATATTTGATTTGTCACTTTTCTGCTTCGCAACAACTTTGCTTGCTCCAATGGCATTGGTTGGCTGCCTCTCAATAGGTGTCTTAGTGTCCTCCTCAATGACTTCAACAAGAGAGTTTATACCTCCTGAGTACATGAATATCTTCTTTGAAATAATTGGATATGGAGAATCAACTCCGAACCTGCTACAGCCCTTCAAGAATGTCTTGTTCGAGATATCGAATGAGTTAGACTGAGAAGTCAAAGCAAACAAGAAAGACCTCAGGAAAGTGATCTCCCCTGGATACGATACATATTTTGAGACAGGGTTTGTCTCAGGAGTTAGATTTGAGCAGACTGATATAATTTCATCACTATTGAAAATCCCTTCTTGTTCTTGGAAAAATTTCACAAAATGTTTTGTTAATACTTTCTGGTTCTTCTGTTTCTTAGTCATGTATTCATCCAAGTAGCCATTTAGGACTTGGTCAACATCGACGTACTCAATTTCTATGAAAATTAGGTGAGTCCTACAAAATAGCTTACCGATTGGTGGTTGACTGGGATGTCTCATTTCAAACTTATCAACTTCTTCAGGAAGTCTTTTGACATGCTTTCTAATTTTGTGGTACCATTTCTTGAGGTCGTTTTCTCCCATCCAGAAAAGCACCTTTGGAGTGAGCTCTTCCTCAAGGTCTCATTTGATCAGAGTAAGTCCATCATCAGTTTCTCTGAACTCCTTGAAGCATGAGTACGCAAAGTAGAAGAATTCCTGCATGTATATGTCACAAGAATGCGAATTAGCATCTGTCTCTACTGGTTCTGAATATTGGAGCATTCCTGATAACTTCGCAAATACTTTGGCTCTTGGCCAAATTTTTGTGTAGTACTTGAGACTTGAGATGAACTCGATTAGTTTTACTTCTGCTAATCTCCGTAATTTGTATTTCCTGATGAAATGCAGGATTATGTACTCTTCAAGTGCAAGATAATTTGTATTTACTGCACCATTTATCTCATCCGAGAAAGCTATTCTTTCATCATAGATTTCATAAAGTCTCTTTTTAAAGTGAGGCCAAGGGACCACACGTCCCTTTTCTTCTGTGTCAAGTGAATTTGAGATAAAAGCAATAATAAATGAAGGAATGTTCCATTGCTCGGTCAATTCAAGAGCCATCTGCTTAAGAGCAGCAATGTCTACGACTCTGTTTGATTTCATATTTTTAGGTTGAGAGTCAAGATTCAAGCCTAATTCCTTATTGATCTTCTTCTCTTCCTCCTTAAGTTCAGTCACCTGCTCGGACATAGTCATATTAGCAGTTGGAGCTTCATATTTATAGTTGTCTTTGTATTTCTCATTGTCTTTTTGAGATTCAGCATCTTTTGATTCCTTACCTTCTCCTTCATTTTGCTCTCCTTCCTTATTTTCTTCTTTAGGCTGATCTTGGGCCTCCTCTCCATCTTTCTGGTCATCATCTTGTCTTTTCTGAGTCTTTTCCAAGGGAGGAGAAAGCACACTACTAAGCATATCTTTTGGAGTCCACTGTAAGTTAGCTTCATTAACTTGAATCCCCTTATCTTGCTTTGAATGTTGGAGGACTTGCTTTAACAACTTATCCATATTAAGAAGAATAGAGTTCTTTTTGTACTGCTCCCGTTCCAGCTCAGAGATGACATTCTGAGTACTGCCCATATCTTTTTCGATTTTTCCAAACTGCACCTCAGTATCTTCAAAGAGGTTGACTTTCTTGTCATCGTCTTTCTTATTATCTTCTTGTTTGGCTGCACTTCCACCAGTGGCTTTTTCAAAGTCTATCATTTCTTTGTTACATGTCTTGAGACACTCAATCTGAGACTTGAGTTCATCCTCGACTAGCTCTGCTACTTTAAGGTTGGATTCGTTATTTCTGGAGAAGAAGCTTATACTCATGGATTTGTTTGGTCAGTTTGACATTCTCAAATTCAAGTTTTTGTACTTCCTGTTCAGAGACTTCTAACCGATTCCTGACTTCTTTGTCCTTTTCAAGCTCAGACTTATGGTTCTGGTCTAGAAGTCTCTCGTACAACTTGTTGTAAGACAAGTTTAGATTACTTAGAGTCTGAGCTAGCTTGGGCCTGAATCAGAGAACAGTAGAGATAATCTCATTGAAAACTAGATTGATTTTAGTCACGTCTTCAAACAGGTTTATGAATCCTTTCTTGTTTGAATAGAAATTCTTCTGATTCAAAGGGAGATTTTCAAGAAAAGGCTTTTTCATGAACTTGTTGATAGGATCTTTTACAAACTCAGGCTCCTCTATTGGCTGTTGGCGTAGAAATAGATTGTTAGGATTTAACAAACTTCTCTTAGCAACGTTAGCAGTTCTTCCAAGTTTTGATTTTGACATTGACCCTCCTCTATTATGCCTGACTCTTCTCATATGGTTCATAGAATTCTGATAGGTATTACTCTGCTTAAGGTTCTGAAAATCTTCTGTATTAGTACTAATCTTAATGAACTCGCCATGCTTAGCGGTCTTATTCATTCCAAATACTTCATTAGGAGGAGCGATCTTAGTCCGGATGGAGTTCCTGGCTCCATCAGAAACTTTAGGGGACACCCCGTAGCTTTCTAATTTAGTTTTTTCCTTCTCATTCATGAGTAATTTAGGTAATGGTTGGTCCGCCTCTTTTTGCATTTTGTAATCAATGTCAGCATAAAGGCCTGGGAACTGATCTTCCATAATTTATTTTTATTTATTCTAATATTATTATTTGATCTTCCACATTAGGAATTTTAAGGGGTTTTGGGGTTTTGGGGTTTTGGGGTTTTGGGG